CTTTCCTGCCCACAGCCATCAGCATCTACAATAAGTTTTTAGTTAAATGAGTTACAACAACACCTAATTTCCCTCTGGGATCATTAAAGTATTTTTGAATTGAATTGAATTGAATTGAATTGAACCAGCGATTTGTGTGCAAGGATGCTGAATAAATACTTGGCCCCTCTATGAATATTGTGGCCCTTTGATGGCCCCTTACTCAGAAAAATCCTAGATCCACCACTGGTTGCCTCTAAAAGTTAATCAGTTGCAGATGTGTGTCTAGTGATTACTTTCTGAGAGTTTTGTTAAAATCTATCCATTGGCTCATGACATATTTTGCTAACAGACAAACAAATACAATCTAAAACTTTATTGCCCTTTTCGCCCTTGGCAGTGGGTAAATAGARGTGAACTTATGACTCCTCACCTTCTGATAAGGCGTGAGGCTTGATGATGCAACATGTGCAGTCTGTGAACGTGGCCGTGTTGGGGGGACCGTGGCCGATTGTGGAAGGAAAAAAGAACTCCAGCTCCTAGCAGAACAAACACACGACACTTTCTGTGAGCACAATCGTTTCTGGGAACGTGGATCTTGTGGCCCAAAAGGGGCACAGGAGTTTAGCTGAAGCGCCTCACTCTGGCTGCTGCGGAGAGCGACTCGGAACCGTGGCCGACATTTTTGACCACGTCCGTCCCGAACTGCGCGCGGATGCTCTGCGGCGCCTCCTTCCGTGCCGCCGCCGAGTCTGCGGGTCCCAGGAGCCTCCTCCAGGTAGACACGGCCTCGTCGCCCATCAGCTCCATGGCAACCACGGGGCCCGAGGATGCAAACTGCACCAGGTTACTGCAGAACAAAGCCGTGTTGGAGTAACGAGCTGATTTAAATAGGAAAGCAGTGAAATCTGAGCGCAGCGTCATTAGGATCATTATCACAGGTTCTGGCAAATCATTTACACCGGCCACTCACTTGAAGAAAGGCTTCGACTGATGTTCCACATAAAAGTCTGCCGCTTGGCTCCTGCAACAAAACAAAACCATAAACTGAAGTTAATCTGTGACCAGTGAGAGGGGACTCTGAGTACCACATTATTGTCGTGGAGGGAGAAGAAATAAAGGCAGCAAATAAAACAGCATCTTTCAAACAAAGTCAGTATTCCTCTCAGGGTTAAACTGTGTGCTCAAATCTAATTTCACTGTTGTTAATTTAGACAAAATCTTTGAAACAATAATAAAGAAGATGCCATTTTGTAGGTGCAAGAAAAGATTACTGCTAAACTGGACAATTTATAGAAAACATGAAAATGCAACAGAACAATGCAAACATCTACAACTGATTAACTCTCGGGCATATGTGCCAAAATCAAGGTCCACGGGCCAAATGTGGTCCACCACAGCATTTCATGTGACCTTCGAGGGTTTAAAGATATTTTAATATCTTAAAATATGCTGCTTTAATGTCATCATTGACCATAAACTGCATGTCACTTAATGCATGTTGATTATTTTACCTGCAAAATGACGTCATCCCACCACTAAGTGGATGCGCACTGGGTTCAAAAGCAGAAACAGCCTTTATTGTCCCGCATGGGGAAATTCAGGTGTAATAGCAGCAGCAGATACATACATCCACAGAAACAGTATATTGCTATGTGACATTATCAACGGCAGCAATATTAATAGAATTAAAGATAGTAACAATAAAAGTAAATATAGAATAAAATAAGAATAATAATTACTGTACCAGACTATCAAGATGAAATTAGATAAAAATGAGAATAAAAGCAAGCTACTGTGCAGAAAAACACAAAATTACAAGAAAAAACAGTCATGACAGACTCATGATCCGAAGGGGTGTGCAAACTGAGTCAAACTCAGTCATTAAGTCAGAGTTCCAGTACAGGAAAAAAGATGTACAACTGCCACAGGTTATTTATTATTTATGTAATGATTGAGAGGTAGAGTTGTTTGCAATTTTACTAATTAAAACATGGATGCTTATCGAGATTGTTAGGAGCAGTGATGGTTATAGAGTCTAACAGCTGATGGGAGGAAGGATCTGCGGTAATGTTCTTTTGTGCATTTAGGATGCAGCAGTCTGTCACTGAAGGAGCTCTGCGGTAACTGCCAGCTGATGAAAATCATTGTGTAAAATCTACATTTAGCTGCATTTTTGCTGGCTACGTTCACTGTGGTTCAGTTGTACTGAGAAGTGGGAATTACTCACTTACCAAACGTAAATTCTGTAGGATTTATTTCACATTTAGTCAGTACTTTTCAATGTTAATAATAGGACATTATAAAACACTGTTTCTATGCAGGAAATACCAGGTAGAGCTCAGTTATTGTTTGTTAGCAGTGCTCAGCTGTAGCAGTGAGATGAGGAACGTGACTTTTTTTGTTTTTAGTCAATTTTAAACACGAAATGTTGAAGTTAATTACAATTAACCCTTTGAGGACCACCATAATGCTCATGTGGCCCTCAGAGAAAACAAGTTTGACCTCACTGTTAACAGAAACACTGAAAGATGGCTGCCACAGCTAAGCAACCAAAACAAACACAAAACTCTCTCTAATTCAGTAAATTTCACAGATCTTGGGGTTCTAATTTTAAAATTGCTATCAGAGGCAGAGTTTGGGAGAAGTCTATTTGTTTTTTACTGTATTATGCAATAAAGCAAAACCACCAAAAAGACATAATCTCTTATTTTTAAGTCTGATTGTAGGAAGATTAGCCTCAAAATATGTCTGAAAATGTTAGAAACACCATAAAAATTCCTGGATTCAAAGTCCACTCAGCTTAGCAGCAGTAGGTTTTTCAAACTAAAGCCAGATTTATCAAACTGGGTTAATACTGATTACATCATGACTGAACACACACAAAAAAATAAACACTAACTTTCTTGTGTCTTGGAATGTTAATGTTGCCAACATGAATGAAAGTTATTCGTCTAGTATAAAAGCACACAGCCTGAGTGTCCCTCTGATCAAAGCTTGTCTGATGAGTCTGTATTATCTGACACTGCATTGTGAGGACATTACCACGTCAGCGTCGTCATTTTGGCTTTGGTCACAATGAGGCTGGACGAGTAAATCAAGTCAATCACATCTCCCATCTTGGTGACCACATCTGGTTTTATCAAAGCCAGAGTTCTGTGGGGAAAACAAGACACAAAGGTGAGAAAAGGGTTAAAATATCCCAGCATCGAGCACAGATGTGTTCCTGTAACATCAGCCCATTGTGTGTTTTAGTTTAACTATAGTTATTCTGGGCCGACACTCTTCCTGATGTGTCTTCAACGTTGTTGTGTTTGTTTCCACCAGGAGGCAGTGATGGTGACTGTGCCCTCAGTCCTCCTGTCTCGCTCATGTTTGTCATGTTCATTTAGAAATCACTGGACAGGTTGTAATGAAGCTGTCAGAAAGTAATCACTGGATGCATAGACTACTCGATTAGCTGCAAAATTAACCTTAGCAAACATAAATACACTCTTTTTTAGGCCTTTCCTTCTTATTTTGTTTGACCAAACAATAACCTGCACCTCTAAGAAACATACAGTTGGTTTTAAATCTTTCATTTTCCCATTTTGTTGGGGCCACAGTTCTCTGAGGAACATTTGAAGCATAAAAAATGGTTTTCATGCCTCAACAGTTTTCAGTGTAAAATTCCACAGAGATTTCTTGGACTTCCAAGCATGCTTTTTGTAATGACAAGCAGTGTGAACCGTGCGACCTACAGATACACACACGTGTGTGTGTGTGTGTGTGTGTGTGTGTGTGTGTGTGTGTGTGTGTGTGTGTGTGTGTGTGT